TTGTCCTTTTCTTCGTCTTTTTCCATTCTTTCTTCTTTCTTACACATTTTTCCCCTTTTCTTCATCTTTTTTTACTTCCTCATTATCTGTTTATTTTTTTCCTTTTCTTGTACTCTTTTCTCTTTTCCTTTCAGCTTTCGCCTTTTCCTTTTTCCTTTTCCACTACCTTCATATTTACCATCGTTTCTCCTTCACCGAACATTTTTCATTTTTATATTCCTTCCATTGCTTATCTTAATCATTTTTCCTATCTTGTACCCCACCTCCTCTGTTCTCTTTTTCTAGCTCTCACCATTTCTCTCTCCCCACCTCTTAATCGACCTACCCCTACTTAAAAACAGTCAGTTACACCGACTGCTTATAGCGCATCGTCTATCGTCACCCTGTAAGGATTTGAAAAACAAATTCCGGAATGAGACCTCTGGGTGGCATTGAGAAGGGGGTTGGGTAACAGCCTAATACTTCGTGTCGAAGCGGACCCCCAAATGGCCAAAGCAACTCTTATTAAATAGGGAAGGTAACATTACCCCCACACCACCCGCCCGCCTACCCCATCACACACGTCACGTGATACATACATTTCTAAACATATCTATGCCTACAGAAACACGTATGTGACTCACGCATACACAGACTAGATGCTAAATGCATTAGACAGATAAGAAAAGAGAGCTTTATGTACACAAGGGGAAAATAACTCAAATCAGGACTTTCTGTAATAAAAAAATTAAATCATACGGAGTGTTGGGAATTATAGCTGTTTTACTCAGCTTAGTTTGACACAAGGCTATAACAGCGTGGTACCCAATGAGGATAGAATGCGCTTCACTAACGACTTTGTCTACAAAACAGTTGTAGTCCATTGCGCTGTAATACGCGCCTCGTTTACTCAACTCTGTAGTCCTGGGTATGACGATAAGCTACATCCGGCAGCAAGGACTCTGATCGGGAGATTGGAGGTTTTCATGAGCGTGGAATCACCTCTTAGTTTCCAGGTCCCCTCTGAACCGAGGTGGTAGCACCTGTTAGGGTCCCAGCTATAGGCAAATAATGAAACCCCAAACAAGACACTATGAAAGGTTTTCACGAGCGTGAATTGCTATTGCACCCAGGTCCACTTTGATCAGGGGTGGTTATACCTGTTAGGGTCCCAGCTATGGGCAAATAGTGAAATCCCAAACAAGACACTATGAAAGTATAAAAATATATTTTTTATAGTAAAAATACCAGCAATAAATTTTTATGTAAAAAAAAACAAAAAAAAAACAAAAAAAAAACAAACTATATTACGTATTTATCTGTCCATATCTCTAAAATGTGGTATTGTAATTATTTACACTATTCACCTTTTTCGGGGTGTTGTTCTCATCTTTGATGCCATATTCACAGTCTATATTTCTGAGATGAGGTACTGTGGATAAAAGCGTTAGTTTGAGCCAATGACTTGACCCAAAGAGTTGTGAGTTCAATACCTGGGTACGGCAGTGGTGAACAAAAACTTAGAGAGTTGAGTTAAAGGGAGATAACCGATACAACCGGAAGAAGCATGGCACGTGGAACTAGATCAGTCTGCCCATTGGACGAAATAAAGGGTTCTGTTCAAAATTCCAATCACTTGACGAAGTACGGAGCGTACAACGACCGAAACGTCGTGAATAGGGCAACAAAGATGAGGACAAGAGTCCGAACAATGTAAATAGTGTTAATAATACCTATTTATAGTAAAATTAGCAACAATACAATTTTAAAGCAACATGGCCAACAATATATTCCAGTTGAAGGCATACAATTGCGTGCAATATATATTTAGTTGAAAATCAAAACCAACAAAATCAATCAATGGTATGGACTGATAAATGTGGATGTGCGACTGGTGTAACTTATCTAATCGAGAAGAAAAATCGACAAAACGTGTTCGAATTTGTTATGTTCACTTTCATCACTTTCGCCCAAATAGCCTTGGGAAAGATATGGATCAATTTTTCCCCCAGCTATAAGTTAAATAGAAGGACAGACTAAATACTATAGCCTTGAGGTGGCAACCAGTCTCGCTTGCTTTAGTGCGGTGCAAGATAAACGCTTGGGCGATCGTGTCTCAGTACCTCAAACGTTCGCGAGCTCAGCTGAAGATGGTCACTGCTTTAATTTGGTTCAACTATGATTCGGTTTACCGTCTCTTCGCTCGTTTCCCTTGAAAAGAAAAAACAAAAAAACTCAGACTCAAATGGGATGGGCTCCGTCAGTTCATCTTGCCCTAGACACACGATTGTTACTATCGCTGCAGTATATGAGTTACTTCAACTCCTGCGTCCTGGGTATGACGATAAACTACGTCCAACAGCAAGGCCTCTGATAATGTTTTTGAAAAAATAATGTTGACAGCTATACGTTTAATAGTAATATATATATATATATATATATATATATATATATATATATATAACTGGCATTAAATGACCTACAGTGGTTGATATGCCATAAAACCCAACCAACCAACCTTCAACTCCTACATTTATGGGAATCGGACAAAATAAATCGACAATGAAAGGGAGATAACTCTTACAGCCAAAAGCCCCACTTGACGAATGATATAAGAATTTAAAACAAAAAAAAGCTTGAACTGAACGATTAATATATTGCGAGATGTGCAGAATGTATTCATTTGATGGCGAATTATTGTCATGATAGCAAAAAAGAAACATACATAACATCAGGAAGAGACAGTTGGAATTTCTGGAGCATGTAATGAGGAGGACGGCTTGGAAAATCTGTAAGAGGGACAAAGGAAAACAACGCATTACAGACTTGAAGAGTTTGAGAAAATGGATGGCGGAACAGGGTTTAGAAATAAGGAAAAGACAGTATTTAGAGCTGCAAGGAACAGGAAATTGTGGAGAGCCATGACCGCCTACGTCCTGAGAGGACATAGCTCATAAAGAGAGACAGAGATCTTTTTATTTTTTTTTAAATTCTGTGTCCATTCAGGATTTAACCAATCATAGCTCTTCACAGCTCTCTTTTTTTTTTTTTTTTTTAATATCTGCTAAATAAAATTCTTGGGAAATATAGTGGAGTGGTTTCCAGTTTGCTTTTTCGTGGTTTCGAAGTCAGTTTTTTTCCTTCTCTTATACTAGTTGTCATCCAAGGTGACACAGCCCAACCTACCTTGCTATTTAACCCATAGCTGGAGGAAGAACAGGCGGCTTCATACTTATTTTCAAAGGCATTTAGGCAAAAATGAATGCAACTGACTAACCCAGAATTTTGCGACACATTCTTATTTTACTTTAGTGAAGCGAAAAAAAAAAAAAAAAAACTCCATAATTATTGGGGTCTGCATCCTGACCGAAAGAGGTGCGGATTTACTGATAGGGTTCGAACCCAGGTAAAGCCCCACGACTTTGAATGCAGATTCATAAAATAGATGGGTAATCTCTTCATTTAGAAATCTGGCGCAATACAATCTTTCGACTCCATTTTCTCTCGTACCGTACTCAGCTTGGTAGTAAATATCAGGAGACATACTAGTTGTTTTCATGCTGAATTTAAAAATAATAATAAAAGTTTGGTTAGAAAGATTGAAGCAACACAATCTTCTATGCGAGGAGAAATTACTTGAAAAGCACCATTTTAAATTCTAGCCTTGATCTCGGATCAGACACTGACCACTGGGAAATAGACAACGGTCACGCAGTACACCAAAAGAAAAGTCCAAATTAAAAAAAAAAGTCTAGTAACCCCTGCGAATCGAACTCACAACACTAGCCTTGTTTTTGTGGTGTGTACTGAAAAATCTTGTTTACAGGCTTAAACCGAAAACAATTCCTGAAATAAATCAAACATTTTCTGATAGATTTTCTGAAATTAATATAAAGATGTGTCAAATGATTAGTATAACTGTTGCTGTTATTGTTCCGTGTTATATCGAACATGAAGGGGAGTCTTTTGATTGGCTTGCTTTGTTTTATGGTATATCAATCTAAATGGGTTATTTAATACCGACAAGATATTTATTGCTGGTAATATCTCTTTTCAAAAATATATCTATGGTAATACCCTCTTTCAAAAATATATTGTCGGTAATACTTTTTCTTCCTAAAAAGTATTGCTGGCAAAAAAAAAATGTTTTTCAAAAGTATATTGCTGGCAATTTTTTCTTTTTTCAAAAATGTATAGCTGGTAATATTTTTTTCCAAAAGGAACTGCTGGTAAAAAAAAGTATTGCTGATATTAAAACCGCTTATTAGATACGATGGAGAAAGGTAAGAATCCACCTCTTCTCCCACCAGCTATGGGTTAATTAGTAAGACGAGTAACACTAAACTATTATGATCTCAAAACAAAGCTTATAGTATAAAAAAAATAATATTTTCTGGCTTTAAATAACATGTGAATGGTTGATTATCCGTTGAAAATCAATCAATAAATCGATATACAAAAACTGAAACAAAATATTAAGACAGACGTTGTTGATTTAATGTAATAAAACTTGTTTATATGAATTCTTGCCACCAAAATATATCTTGATAGAAAGATTGATAGGAACAGTCAGTGATAGATAGATAGATAGATAGAGAGACATGAAGTAACTGGGATAGATAGAGAGACATGAAGTAACTGGGATAGATAGAGAGACATGAAGTAACTGGGATAGATAGAGAGACATGAAGTAACTGGGATAGATAGAGAGACATGAAGTAACTGGGATAGATAGAGACATGAAGTAACTGGGATAGATAGAGACATGAAGTAACTGGGATAGATAGAGACATGAAGTAACTGGGATAGATAGAGAGACATGAAAGAGACATAACTGGGATAGATAGAGAGACATGAAGTAACTTAGGATAGATAGAGACATGAAGTAACTGGGATAGATAGAGACATGAAGTAACTGGGATAGATAGAGACATGAAGTAACTGGGATAGATAGAGAGACATGAAGTAACTGGGATGAATGAGAGACATGAAGTAACTGGGATAGATAGAGAGACATGAAG